CTGTAGATTAGCAGTACGGACAAAAACATAATAAACATTCATGCACGCATGCATGAATGAATGAACAAATGAATGAGACCTGATTGGATGAGAAGCGGCATGGTGGGGGTGAAACACTGGAAAAGTAAAGTAGAGGCATTTAGGTTTGATTTCTCTTCCATTTGCTATGTGACTTTGGGTGGATGATGAGATTTACTGGGGCTTTAGTTTTCTTGTGTAAAATATAGCTAATGGGGCAGTCCTCATACAGCTGCTGATAAGACTGGATAAGTTAGTGTCTTGGAAAATACTTTGTAAAGTGTTACTTTACCATATAAAAATAAAGCCTGTATTAAAGTGCTCACATTTTTACAAAAAAAAAAAAAATTACCAGCCCTTTTTTATTTTAATCCTCAAAAGAATCCTTTTTATTCATAAGAAAACTAAGAGGAAGGTGAGCTGCCCTGCTCATGGCCCAGGAGCTGTGCAAATAGACACAGAAGGTCTCCTAGGTCTGTGCTCTCACTGCTACACCCTTCAGCTTCTTAATGGAAACCAAAGGCTCATTTAAGTGGCTTCCACCACTAAATCAAGAACTCTGTGTACTTTTCTCCCTTGGAATTGGAAGTGCAGACACTTAATTATAACTTTTGATTGCTTGAAATTATAGGGCTATAGAGTTACTGGCACATGTTTCTGAGGAAAATCATACTCCAAACCCCGCGATAATCATCTCTGGTTTTTTGTATTCAAGATGGACGCAGGGAATTTGGCACCATTAGTCATAAACTCGCAGTGTTTCCTGGGATGACTTGAAGCCAACTCTTACAGACATAGGCAGGAGTTGTATGTACGTATGTCCACGATTGACTGAAAGCTCCATGAAGGTACACCTGTGATGTCCTGTTCATCGCTGTCTTCCACAACCTAGCACAAAAAACCAATCCTTGATGGATGAATGAATGAATGAATGAATGAGCTACATTACCCTTTGCTATATCCCTTCTATTGAGAATGTGCTTGCCTAGAGATTAGCCTTTTATTTTATGATAGACACGCTACACTGTATTAATTTGCTAGTGTTACCATAACGAAGTTCCACAAACCAGTGGCTCAGACAACTGAAATTTATTGTCTCAGTTCTGGAGGTGATAAGTCCAAGATTAAGGTGTCAGTAGGGATGATTCCTTCTAAAGCTGTGAAGAAGAACACGTTCCATGCCTCTCTCCTAACTTCTTTCTGGTGGTTTACTGGCATTCCTTTCTGTTAGAAGCATCACTCGTATCTTCTCTGTCTTCATCTTCATGGGAGATTTCTCCCTCTATGTGTGTCTATGTCCAGATTCCCATTCTTTTTTCCTCTTTTTTTTTCAGATTCCCCTACTTATGAGGACATCAGTTGTATTGGAGTAGAACCTACCCTGATTTCCTTTTAACTTGATTACATCTGCAAAGATCCTGTAGCCAAATAAGGTCACATGATGAGGTACTGGGGGTTAAGATCCAATATACCTTTTTCCAGTGGGGGAGCAATTCAACCTATAACAAGCATCATGTTTTCTTGTTATTTTTATTTTATTTTCTATAATTTTGTGAGTCCTGGCAATGGATATTAAGTATGTCATTGGTAAATCGCCCCCCCCCCCAAAAAAAAATTGACAAGATAGGGAAAGACTAAAGAAGATTGATAAAATGTTCAATAACATTATCCTCATCTCTATTCATAGGGTAAACAAAACAGACCTAACTTGGGATATGGGGTGGGGTCTTACCACAGTCTGTGACAGCCTTCTGCTGATGTGGCCTGTTCCTTGGGCTTCTGTTATTCAAATCAGCCTGTAATACTGATCCCAGTCCAGATGACCACCTGGGCTTCGCCCCAGTTAGTTACCAGTAGGCATATATAGAAGATCCATCCCTCTCCCCCCCCCCCCCCGGCCCCTTTGGTAGAGATGGTTCTAGAAAGAATGCAGAGCCCCATGCTATTTTTATTTTGAAATAGAAAATAACATCTTTCGCTATACCTGCTAGGTTTTTCTCTCTCATTAGAGTGAAACAGATCACTGCCTTGTGGAACAAGTGTTCTCTCATAAATGGCAGACAGAAGTTCAATGGTATCAGATCAATACCAATTTCATATTTAGGCCTGGGGATTATTCCCTGACAAGGCAGATGGGGCAGGGCATTCTGTCTGCTGCTAGAATTGTTAGCACATGTCTTACATGGGAGGCCAGAGGGCCGAATGCTTCCCTAGACAGCATCTTTAGGGTGCCGGGCTGATGTCTCTGTCAAAATAGAAAATACTAAGATCGCACCCATGAGAAGGGATTCTTTATGCACGGATTTTTTTCACTTGTAGATTTTCAGTCTGAAACCCTAACCCATGAAGAGGGAGAAGCTAAAATAACTAGAGGCAGCAAGCCAACTCGGGAGAGGTGATTAGACTCTGGGTGTCTTGTCCAATGAGCGTTAGTGGGGCTGTCCCCAAGGCTGCTTTGAGGAAAAGGCTCTGGGTGCAGTGCAAGATGAACTGGGGATTGAGGGAAGAGGAATGTGCAGGAATTAAGGGCTACATTTTTACCAAATCACATTTCCACCTGACATTTCTGCAAAGTTCTATATAAATGGCTTTGGATTTTTTCAACAGAGGTTTGAGATAACAATACTCAAAATGAATAATTTTTTTGTTTTTAGGCATGTGGATAGAAATTAGCTCTTTCTTTCAGTCTGGCATTGGTGAGCTCTGCTCCTGGCTATGAAATAGTTACCAGGCAGGACTGGGTTTTTGAGAGAGAGTCATACGGGGCCTGGGGTGTGTTGAGAAATAGCAAACTCCTGGGGGATTGTTGGCTGATGGAGGGTCGCCTGGGAAGCCTGCGTCCAGCTCTCAGGGGAGGCTTCCACTGATTTATTACAAGGAATGGCTCGTGTGATTATGGAGGCTGAGAAGTTCCACAATATGTCATCTGCAAGCCAGAGACCCGGGGAAGCTGGTGCTACAAGTCCTAGACTAAGGACAGGAGAAGAGCAATGTCCAGCTCAAGGAGTCAGGCAGAGAGAGCAAATTCTTCCTTCCTCTGTTCTTGTTCTGTTCAGGCCCTCTGCATATCGGAGGATACCCACCTTCACTGTGGAGGGCAATCTTCTTTACTTGGATTATGAATTCAAATGTCAATCTCATCTGGAAACACCCTCACAGACACATCCAGAAGTCATGTTTAACCAAATATCTGGCACACTATGATCCAGTCAGTTGACCCCAAATTAACATCACACCGTAGTAGAGGGGTGCTCTGCTGATGACAAGTCAACTTTGCTGACCTGTTGTCCACAACTGCCCCTCCCCCTCTGACCCCAATAGCAGTCTTAAGACTATTTAGTTATACAAAGACTCAAAAAATGCACCATACCTTGCTTGTCACATTTGCTTCCAGTCAGAATTCCCAGTTCCCCCCAAATTCCCATTTATAATTTAGTTGATCTAAAAATAAACCATTACAGCGAGAATTAGTCATACATACTAGGGTGTGAATGGTTATCTTAATTTTCTTGATAATATTTGCTATATATTATGGTCAAGAGAATGGACTCAAGAGGGGTCAGGCTGCCCAGATTTGAATCTTGGGTTTTGCACTTACTACTCGTGAGACATTTGACAAGTTATTTATCTTCTCTCTGTCTCAATTTCCTCATCTGTGGACTTCTCCGATGATATTTGCTTGGGAGATACTTTCAAGAAAGGGTCTTTGTCAATGACATCTCACCCATTCCTATGCCTCATGCCCAAAGCTGCCTTCCTAGAAGAATGTGGGTATTCTATTAACCTTAAGCACATTGAGTGTGTCTACCTTGTGCCAGATTATGTTTCTTCTTCATATCTTACACCTATCGTTTGACATCCCTACTCTCTAAATGGGAAAATCTCAGCTCACAGAAGGCTAGTCCTTTGCGGAATGTTAGAGCTGGTTTGCAGCAGCCCTGGGGTCCAAATCCTGGCGCTAGAATTCCAGATCCAATATCCTACCCCTTGCGCCACCACCAGTCGTCCACATGTAAGAGATGGCTTAGTGCTGAGACACTGACAAGTGTTGCGATGGCCCAGGACAGAGGGAGAAACCCGCACGCCGATGGGTGCCACCTGGTTCCATGTTCCGGGGTAGCTAGCTCTTCAGTCTTTATGAACCTCAGTTTCCTCAGATTTGTCAGACATGCTACTAATCTCCTCTAAAAGTATACATTTTAAGAAAGCAGTACCAGCGGAAAGTTTGTACTAAAACTTTGTACTAGCATCAGTGACTTGCCATATAAGTACCTGGGTTGTTATAGACATTCCCCCGCGAGCCTCTTGGAGATTTTTCCCTTTCTTCTTCAGCATCTTTTGGCATCTTCCCTACGCCCACCATGCACTGACATTGTGAAGAGCTTTGAGACATTTCGGATGAGGCCTTGTATATGAAATTAAATGTCAACCTGCTTGAGTTGCCTCCAAATTTCCCCGGGAGACCTCTGCTGGCATTTAATTTCTGATTAATATTATCCTCTCTGAAACTTTTAAAGCCCAATATGCTTTTCTTAAAAGTGGCTTTGTTTTTTTTTTTTTTTTTCATTTTAAAAGATACCTGGGAAGTTCATGCTCAAGAACTTACTATACGACCTGGATCCATGCACTCTTGAAGAGCCCCAGGTGCTGCGTGCAAGCATGCTGTGTCCATTTCTGCACTTGGTCTGGTGCACTGATGTCAGCCAATCGAATGTCTGGTAGTGCTCATGACCCTCCCCTTTATGTGCTATTAGAGAACCAGTGTCATTTGCTTGCTTGAAGCTCTGGAAAGCTGGAAGCATTTCCTAAGGTTGAGGCGTGTGACCTCTAATCAACATGCGGGAGAAAGCGGCGTGTTCCAACACACGGTTTCTGGCTGACCATCTGTTCAGAGAGGAGGATGCCTGTGATCTGCAGACTTCGCCTTTCAAAACTTAGTTTCAGAGGGAAGATCTAAGGAGAATTAATGGTAAAAAAAAAAAAGGCGTGTAAGGGATCATATTAATCAGTTTGCAGTCACTCAAACTTCAAAAAAATTTCCTTTGAAAACAACTAATTTGCACAGCCTCTCGGCCTGTAATGATTCTCTATGAGTTATCGGCACGGATTTCACATCAGAAGCTGTATGCTGCAAAATAGAAGACCTTTAAACCTCTGTTCAGTTGGCTCTCGCGCACAGAGACTAATTTTCCTCTCCCTTTACCTCCATCCTGCCTCTTTGAAGAAATTGTTGCAAGGAGGGATTTTCTGCATGACCTGTTTCAGGGTCACTTTATGAAGACAACTTTCCCCAAAGCCCTTCCCCAGCACTATTTCAGGAACACTTCTTTCCCAGCCAGTGTGTTGTCAAGGTCACGTGCCTGACTCTTGTGCAGCTGCAACCAGTTCTCCCAGATTCGCCCAAGGTGGGAGCAAGTCTTTACAGGAACACAGAGCACAGGGCCAGGGAGGGGACAGCAGGGTACCGCCTGGCCTTGAGCCGGTGTGGCAGGGGCATTGAAGGAGACAGCTCCCAAGACACAGTAACTGGCATTCCGGTTCATGCCCTTGGACCTACTGTCAGGACCGGGTGTGCGGAAGGGGTTTTAGATACACAGACCATTTGTTCTAATTTAATTCCTATTTTAAACATTTCAGTTGACCTAAAGGGACTCTTAAAAGTTTATTTGGTGAAACTTGGCTCGCCCTAAACTGTAGAAGAATCTTAACAGGATCATCATTCCATGGCCTCAAGATGCTGACTCACTGAGATTATGACCAGATTAAAAACAGCAGAAACAAAAACCAAGGAGGACTAAGTCTTTTGTGCCATATTTAATCTTTGCAAAGCGGGGCAAAATGCCTTCAAATCATGATATTCAAAAGCATGGCCTGGTTGACACAGTTTGCATCAGGGGAAAACAACGTGGGTTGTACGAGTCTGGGATGTATGGTCTGGTGAAGGCCTTTCCGAGCAAGGCCCCCCGGACTCCACGAGGGTCTGCACTGGTTCCGGGGTTCCGGGCTCCGGAAATGATGAAGAGCAGCTTCTGATTTCACAACTGGATCTTTGCTTCCCCTCCCTTCCCGTGCATATCCTATATCGCAAGTTTATTTATAAAATACCTCACGGTGGAGTAATTCAAAGATTGGTGGATCCCAAGTGGCTAAGCTGGAGCTGGTTATCAGAGGAAAAACACATACAGATGTTCACCTGCTGGACTCACCCTGTTTCATCGACCTGTTTGATCTCAGGGGAGCTGCAACGCCATTTATTTCAGCCTGTAGGGGACAGGTCCTAAAGATACTGAAACTGTTTTCTATTGAGGATAAACTCTGCACCGTGTTATGGGTCCTCACCGTTTCTTCTTGATAGTTGAGAAAACGAGGCCCGGAGTTGCGAAGTGATTGTCAGGAGGTTACTCAGCTAGCTAAGAATTTTAGCCAGAACAAAGAGCCCTATCTTATATTCCTCCACTGACCCCTTCTTCCTCCCCTACCGACTTCCTTCTTGAGCCATACTTGCTGATGCTTCCAAAGTAGAAATCCTTGCAACACCATCTCTTCACTGCATTTCCTTGTTGCTCAAGATTTTTACAGATTCAAGATGTTCTTTGAAAAGAGAACTTTCCTGAAGTAAGCAAGAATTCCAGTAATGCCCCAAGGCAGACTTTTTTTTTTTTTTCTTCCTTTTTGGCTTCAGCTTACCCCTGACTCATGTCTCTTGATAACTGAGTTCTTCTATACCAAGAACTTTAATGATTTTCGTCACTGGCTCTTCAGCCGTTCTTTGGCCTGATTTGTTCTGTTTTCTTGGGTGGTTGGCCATGAAACTGGAACCTTGAGAAGGAGGAGGCAAGCTCTGCCGTTCACACTCTTCTCAGCCAGAGCTGATGGTGGCCCACGGATGTTGTAGCTTAAGATGGTTTTCTTGGATAGTACCTTCTGTAGAATTTGTAGCAATTTTAGAATTTCTGAGCAAACCATCGAAAATGATTTCCTCCCTTTGTGGCTTTCAAGAGCTGGTCTCAGCAGTAAGGTGACAGACTCCATTGACAACTCAGTAGCCTTTGGAAACGAATGCTCTGGATGATGACAGGTGCTTCCAAGGGTCTTCTGCACCTGACCTTAAAGGAAACAGTGGGAGGTGAGTGATGGCAGATGAAAATATATGATGTTTTCATGCATGCAGCTGGTGCTCGGAGTTTCTCTCACCATGAACATAGAGACTCCCCACGTGTGCCCATGTAAGGTGACATTCAGGATAGGTAGTGATGAGTGTGACAGAGGCACTGGGCACTCAGAGTGGACCGTTACAGGCGGTGCTCTTGGAGAGGGGGCCTGGAGCTCTCCATACCCTTCCTCACCCAGGAATTGTTTCTTTAGTCTGGGAATCATGGGAAGGTCCAGCAGGTTCTAAAGAGGGGCTGGACCACCCAGGGGTGGGGGCGGTGGCTATTTACTAATGAAAAAGGAAACTTTTTTATTTTAAGTTTATTTATTTATTTTGAGAGAGAGAGAGAGAGAGAGAACAAGCGGGGGAGGGGCAGAGAGAGAATCCTAAGCAGGCTCTGTACCGTCGGCACAGATCCTGATGCAGGGCTCGAACTCACCAACCATGAGATCATGACCTGAGCCAAAATCAAGAGTTAGATTACCCACCTGGGCCCCCCCTGAAACAGTGGTATTTGACAATCAATTCCATCATGCCCAGTGGAATACCGGGAGCAGCTTACACCAACTGATTGTTACCTTCTCGGGAATTTTGTGAGCTGGTTTTTAAACGTAGCAATTATCACACATTAAATAACGTAAACTTGTATTTAAAACAAGCACAAGTGATAAATACCCCAAACTCTACACTCGTTTATTTAATACCTTTTACTTTTATCTGTGCTTGCTAGGTTATTCACACCTCTTATGTCTGGATTGTGGAAATGCTGAGTAATGGTTTACCACTGCATTCTCTCCCAACTCTGTGCTAAGTGTTGCATTTTCATCCTGAAATTGGCTGGCTATAAACCAAGCTTTCCTCCCAGTCTGTTGACTGTCAAACTGGTTGTTTCTGGCTGGGTATCTGCCCTACTCCTTCTCTGGATTTCTGTTGTGTTGAGCCTTCAGTACTCACCAGGACTTACCAAGGGACCTGGCTGCCAAAGTCACTAAGAAGATAGAAGCCATGAACTAGATCTTACACAGAGGGTGAGCCCTAATCATTAAATACGGGGGCTTTTTCTCCAGAGTCACCACCCCCACACAGTTGGTTACTCTGTCTTTCTAAAGCTGTCTCCTCCACTGACTTGCCACCAGATTTCACCAATTCTTCTAACTCTATGTCAACTGTTTCTCCATCCATAATCTTTGTCCTAAAATGCGGTGTTCTTCAAGTTGCTGCTCTGGTCCCTCTTGCTGGGTCCCAGGTAGCTCTACTCGAGACTCATGCAAATGTCCCTGGTGGACCAAACTACTCAACATCGCCAGCACCAAATCTGTCATATCTCTCTTATCCAAAAATATAGGCTTTGCTTTTGATTTGTCTGTAGTTATTAATGAAAGACCAATTTCCCCAGTCTCTCAGTTTCAAAACCCTTAGTCATGTTTAAATCTTTGTGACATAGTTTTTGTATTTTTGTCTTATTTCTCTTCTAGAGTATAGGCTTTCAGGTGGGGGTCACTGTTGATTGTTCCCATTACGCCTTCTACGTAATGCCAGCCTTAAAAAATACCGAGTATATTTTGTCAAAGTGTACAGTTCATTTAGAAAGTGATAATATTTTATTTAAATGTCCTGTAATGTGGGGCAAACCAATACCCCTTTATTTCAAGGGAACAAGGTGGAGCCTAAATCCTGATGGTTGTGTGAACAGAAGCCACTGGAAGGTTACTTGAAAGGGGACATCTTATTTATTTGCCTTTGGCTAATGGGGATGAGAAAAGGTATTTGTGTAGTGTCTGTGCCAGAGAAGATAGAGAAGCTGTTTCCCTGGCCATTCATTGTGGTGTCTGTTTCCTCACAAAGGGAGTCTCGGCAGGAGACGGGGAGAGGCTCTCTGCCTTCTGAGTGCCTCAGCCTGTAAATGTGTTTTTTTTTTTTTAACTTTTTTTTGGTGTTTATTTATTTTTGAGAGAGACTGAGACAGAGTATGAGTGGGGGAGGGGCACAGAGGGATCTGAAGCAGGCTCCAGGCTCTGAGCTGCCAGCACAGAACCCAACACGGGGCACGAACTCATGAACCGTGAGATCATGACCTGAGCCGAAGTCGGATGTTTAACCGACTGAGCCACCCAGGCGCCCCAGCCTGTAAATGTTTTAACCAGTGGTCCCTCCTAAGGCTCCTGCTCACATCCCAGTTCCTGGGAGGCCAGGGGAGGGGTGGGGTGAATCCTTTCCGCACATTTCTTAGACTCCTCCATAGCCTCATATGTCCCCAGGGCTGAGTGCTTCTGATGAGGTGCAGACAATCCACGTTATGGTTTCAGAATAAATGGGATTTTCCTTTTATCATTTCCCTTTTCCTTCTAACCTATATTTTAGGTATCCGTGTTTATACAAATTCAATTTTAACATGCAGTGCTTTGAAGATGAGGTTATTTCGATATTCATGAACTTGTGCGATTATTCAAAGAAAGAAGCATATAAATGGTGGCTATTTGAGTGAGTGAACACGAAGGTACATGTGAGGGTCAGAGGGAAAGATAGAGGGAAACTGTGAGATTTGATTAATAAGTGTAGAAATGCAGGGGGAAAAAGCACTTTCTGAAAAGAGGAAAACAAACCCCATCATCAAGGTATTTCAGTCAGGATTCTTCTAGGAATTGAGCAGACCACAATGTGGTAGGATTTGGATAAACAAACACATTTTCAACAAATGTTCATGCATGTGTTTACTGTGACCACACTAGACATTTTATCACATGGCAGGATATTTACAATTTCAATAATATCCACCATTTACCAGTTAGGCGTTGACCACATATTTGCCAGGAACTCTTGTCTATAATTCACATATAATAGATACCATTTCAACTCGGTCCTTCTGAGGACTTTGTAAATTGTCATCCTGACTCACATTTGGGATCCTGGAGACTGAGAATGGGTAGGGCCATCGAGACTTGGCCACGTGATGCAGTCTTGAGCAGAGAGCGGGGGCCCATGTCCAGCTAGTGGGGACGCACCCCAGCTCACTCCCCGTTGTGGTGGGAGGTCTTCTGCAAACACTTTGCCTTAATATGTTAAGTGGGTTCTAAGATGAATATGTGGAGATTTGCTGGGGAAAGAACAAGCAAATATTTTCTATTTGTAGTCTTAGAAACTTACAATCTGATTTTTTAAAAAAAGACATTTTTCATGCATTTCACAAAATAAATTGGAAGTTATGATTCCTATTTAAAACATCCCTGAGAAGTGTCAATGACACTTTAAAACATTTTAAAACAGGTGTTTGGGGTCTGGGCTTTTGTTTGGAGAAGAAGGCATACATTAAGCACCAGTGTATATATATATTCAACACACTTACATCGAAAGCTATGTTTGTGATCCTCAGAAGCTCCCTCTTCAATCTTACAAGAATATGTAATTTTCACCAAATGTCTTCGATGTAACACAACCCATTTGCCAGTCTCATGCCCTTGAAGAAGCTGTAGCTGATTCCTGGCTATCGACTGTCTCCTCTCTCTCTCTCTCTCTCTCTCTCTCTCTCTCTCTCTCTATTGTCTGTCTGGGGGAAGAAGAAGCTGTATAGACCCTTGCATGGATGGAGAGCCCCACAGACACCTGGGAGAGCCCAGAGCAGACCAGAGAGAGGCTGACTCCCAGCATTCCTGGCTCTACCCGGTGTTTCCTTTTATTTATTCAGCACTGCTAAGTCGATCAGCATAAGGCTTGGTTCTTTAGTGACTCCAGGCATTTCTCTGAGCACCACAATAATCATTGGCCAATTCACGTTTTTCATTCCCACTCAAGCTTCTGCAGGCAGTGACATGTCACTACCTCTGCCCACTGAGAGCTTTCCATGGGGCGCGGCTGACCCCCCGCTGGGATCCTGCCCACATCTCACTTGCCTCCCACACCTGGGGCATACCATCCATGGCCACTGCTGCCTCCAGGGGGGACTTGGCAGAGCCTTCTTTGAAGGCAAAGGACAAATACAAATTAGAAAGAAGAGGCTTAAATCTCCCAGTTGAAAATAAGGGAAAAAACTTCTGTCCCCTCCTTTTTGTTTTAGATCAGTTACCTGAGAAAACATGCTATTGTAAATTCTTTCCCCTCCCTAAAGTGTATATAAATCCTTTCGCAGAGTAGATGGGTCTCTGGTGAGCTTTAGGACCCAAGGGCCTTTCTCAAGGGCCAGAAAGCCACCTCTGAAACACAATCATCTGGGAAGAAGCACCCTCATCTCCCAGTTCCCGTGGGGGGCTAGAAGTCTGACTCCTGTGGGAGCTTGCTCCAAGTTGCAAAGCTATCTCATGTCCTAAAGGTATGAGAAGTTTGTTTTTCCTCTGAATAGAGCTATGCAGCTCACACAGATGGGCACCCCCAGGACCAGGGGACTCTAGGATGAGCTCTACATTGACAAATGGTGCCATCAAGTCCTCTCCTGGAGGACTAGTTATCGCTTCACCTTGATAACGTGTATGTGATGTCTTGTATCTGCTTGGCTATGTTCGGGGTGAGATTTCCTTCTGTCTTTCCAATCTCTTAGCAGACTGACTGCGATGCATGCCACATTCTGGTTTAGAGCTTACTCAGTAATAAAAGTGTTTTCTTTCCTTTCTACCTTTGAGGAGAGGGCTTCTGGGTTGGGAGGAGATTTTGCTTTTATTTACATTTCCCCCAACAAGAGATAGGGGAGCATCTGGGAGAGTCCTTGTCTTACTGGCAGAGAGAAGCCGGACTCCTATGGAGTCTTAAAAGGGGTCTGTGGACACCTCTCTTCCCTGCCCGTATCTGGCACAGGGTCAGTGCACCACGCTTCACCCTCCTGCCTTATCACCCTGAGTCATCGGGGGACAAAGTGCAGTCACCCTCCACTCACCCCCTGAACCTTCTTTCTGGGACCCTCTCTGAGACAGATGGCCCGTGCCTACACCCCACATTTCCTGGGGAGGAATCCTCTCCCTATGCTTTCTTTAGCTATCTCCCCCATT